GGGGGGGGGGGGGCCTGTAGCTTAGAGGATTAGAGCACAACCAAGGTGTCGGGGGTTCGAATCCCTCCTCTGGGGGTAGGAAAATCATGATCGGGATAGCGGACACAAAGCTATGGAACTTGGGTGTGGGTCTTTTGTCGAAATGGAATGGCCTTATCTTTTTCTTTTTCGTTAATGGGTTAAGGGGGTTCCGTTATAAATTCAATATAGTATACCCTCTCTGAATCAGCATCATACAGATAATTTGACTTGATGAATATCATAATTTATCTGAGAAAGAAATACTACTTATTCAACAAATTCGATTGATTGATATGAGTTTCTTTTCTGTTACGAGAAATTGACGAAACAATAGTTGGGCCAATAGCTGCTTTAGTGCAATAGCTATAACCAAAATTGAGAAAATATTCCCTTTGGCGACTATCAAGAAAATGTTACAAAATTCATACATATTAACTGCATTCAGTATAAGCTCAAGACACATAAGGGCCCTAACCATATTTCGGATCGTGATCAATCCATAGATACCGATGGAAAAGAAATAGGCACTTAGAATAAGTACATGTTCGAGCATGATTGACCAACTCCTTATCAATTCTGATTCATTTCAATATGAACAAAAATATAATAGATTCTATAAAAGTACAGAACAAGGGAATATATTGGTAATTGATCGAATAAAAGAATTTAGCTTTTAGACAGAAACAATCTTCCAATAGAATTGAAGGGGAATGTGTGCGATAACATAGAACAAAGTGAAATTTATGCTATTTCTAACTAAAGATTAATTACTGGCGAGCCACGGCAATTGCGCCGATCAAAGAAAGCAGCTAAAAGAATGATCGAAATTAGTTCAAATGGAAGAAAAACAGATGTTGATAAATCAATTCCAATTTGTTGACTATTACTTATTAAGGCTCTAGAATCAGGTTTGATCTTGTAGTCCAAATAATCCCATATCATTACGTATCTACAATAGTAGTCATTAGTGAAACAAAAAGACTTGTACAAACCTGAAAAGTCACTCCATTCCCAACGGTCCAAAGATTCAAATCTGAGGAATATTCTTCACCCTTCATGAACATCACAACAAATATGATTAAAACATTTATAACTCCCACGTAAATAAGGAGTTGCCCGGCAGCTACAAACTGGGCGTTTGCTAAAATATGGAATAGAATAAGGATAAGGATATAGAAAGAAGAACCAGTCCCAACGATAAAGCAAGTCCTCAAAACTCGATTGGACTAAGAGAAATCCATAAAGAAGTTCAGTTCCTTGATGGTCATACAAATTAATCGACGAGTTAGAACGCCGGAAGAAAGAAGAAGAAGAAGAAAAAGAAGACGAAGAAGACAAAAAAAAAAAGACGGCGCAAGATCATCAAATTTGTTCAAGAAAAGCCAAACGTGTCGTAATTTTGACCGACAATCTAAACTCTGAAGAGAAAGATATTGATATCACAAATACTTCTGATTCTGACGAATCATTAGACGAAATTGTTTTGCTACGGTATTCCCAACTATCGGATTTTCGTCGAGACGTAATTAAAGGCTCTATGCGTTGTCAAAGACGTAAAACAGGTATTTGCAAACAGCTTCAAGCAAATGTACGTTCTTATCTTTTTTTTGACAGACAAGCCCATTTTGTCTTCTTTTGATATTCCCGGAATAAGAAAAACGCTTTTTAGACCTTGGATATGGAAAAACACAGAATTGACTATTTCGGATAATACACAAGAAAAGACAGAGATGAAACAAAAGTGGTGATGATAAGAAGAGCCAAGGAGGAAGAGAAACAAACATGTCTAGAAAGAGCAGAAACCTGGGATAAGACACTACTTGGTCAAGTAATAAGAGGTTTGTTAGTAACTCACTCATTTATTAGAAAATCTATTGTGATACCCTCATTGATAATAGCTCAAAATCTGATCCGCATACTATGTATTTGAAGGTATGGGGACTTATCATACTTGTCACAAGCATATTGATTTGACTTACAAATTCTAACAAACAAACCCAACTTATTAACTTAGATAAGTTAAGACCTCTGTTTCAATATCACTTAACATTTCTTTTTCTTCAAAATGCAATACAGGATTATTTTGTTAAACTTGTTGGAGCACACGATTCCATCCCGACTTCGATCTTAAAACACTATTCCGCAATAATGAATGGAAAAACGGGTTAAGGGGTCATTCTCACTATGATTTATATCCAATTAGATGGGCTAAATTATTCTCATAAGAATTACTATATCCTCCATTGAAAGAGGAGAAAGAAATCTGGAGATGCTGATAGTTTCCAAGGAGTTCCAGTTTCAGAAAGAATTCTTAAAAGGGGGAATATTGATTATCGAGCTGACAATCTCTTATGTCTCAAACCATAGGTATTTCATTAGTTCATAAGAATAAGTACCAAATCAAAGATATCAAGAAAAAGACTATCCTATAAGAAGAGTTTTGCTGAATCCATTGCAATACATCAAAAAACGAATGAAAATAGATAGAACCAGAAATCAATCATTATGATTTGCTTGTTCCGGAAAATCTCTTATCCCCTAGAGGCCGTAGAGAGTTCATCATTCGTCTTTGTTTCAATTCTGGGAATAGGATATCCATAGAAATACAGGATTTGACAATGCAAATCAGGTCAAAACTCATGATCAAGCATCTTGATAGATAGAAAAATAAACTAAAGAAATTCAAGTTCTTTCTGTGGCCCAATTATCGATTAGAAGATTTAGCTTGTATGAATCGTTATTGGTTTGATACCCATAATAGCAGTCGTTTTAGTAAGGATCCATATAGAGTTTTGCCGAATGCATTGCAATACATCAAAAAACGAATGAAAATAGATAGAACCAGAAATCAATAATTATGATTTGCTTGTTCCGGAAAATCTCTTATCCCCTAGAGGCCGTAGAGAGTTCATCATTCGTCTTTGTTTCAATTCTGGGAATAGGATATCCATAAAAATACAGGATTTGACAATGCAAATCAAGTCAAAACTCATGATCAAGCATCTTGATAGATAGAAAAATAAACTAAAGAAATTCAAGTTCTTTCTGTGGCCCAATTATCGATCAGAAGATTTAGCTTGTATGAATCGTTATTGGTTTGATACCCATAATAGCAGTCGTTTTAGTAAGGATCCATATGTATATCCACAATGGAAAATTCGTTAATGCTACATTTTGCCTATATTGTATTGGNCGTACCTTATATGTGGAGGATCCGTTGAATTTCAAGTAGTCAGTTTCACCAATAAGATACGAAGACTTACTTCCCATTTGGAATTGCACAAAAAATCCTATTTATCTCAATCAAAGAGGTCTACGTCAAATTCTTGGAAAACGCCAACGATTACTTTCTCTCTTCTTATTTATCAAAGATAAAGAAAATGCGTTATACAGAAGTAAAATTAATCATTGTAGTTGGACCTTGTGGTCGCTGTCTCCCTAGCACAAACAGTAAATATGGCGTCGAACACCAACAACAACTCAACGCCCATCATCACAGCGGCAGCATGGAGGAGTGAGTGAGTGAGCCTACCCAAGACGGAACCCACGATGTGTGTATTTTCACGCTTTGCATTTTCTTCTACTCAAACCTGAGACCTATGTGTTGTTAGGGCAACACTCTAACCACTTGAGCTATTCAACTTGACTATTGATAAGATTGGCTCCTCCGAAATGATATACCACCGATGGCTTCAACCTGGCTCTGATACCACTTGTTTTTTGGGATAGTCGACAACTAAAATCCTTTTCGGTGAGAGGAAATTGTTTAACGGGAAGTTGTTGGAAGAAAATAAAGATGCGAAAAATAATAGGGAGAGATAATTGATGAAGACTTTTGCTTAAAATGAGGTGCTTATATCTTCTGAACAGATTTACCTATTTAAATATCTAACTTATCCTAAAAATGGTAGGAGAATCGGTGTCAATTCCTACAAAATTACCATCTAAAATTTTGGTAATCATTAGATGTGTTTGTCAAATGGTCAAACGAATGTATTCAATCAACTAATGAAAACGTGTAAATCTAAATAAGAAAAATCTCATGTTTTATCTAACACAAAACACTTCCTCATGGACTCTTTGAACTCGTACCATGAATCAATTGGTGCTTCAAGGTTTCTTCTCCTACTTGACATCAATTTATCCAACCAAATTTAAGCATATTGTTTGAATTGAGCAATGCATAACAATACCTTCTTTTCATCACTAAAATTATGACAGTTGAACACCGACTCTACTGTTTCTCCCATTCAAGGTACTCCTTTGGATCGATTTTGCCATAAAACTTGGGAAGTTTTAATTTGATGCTCCCCACGTTACGATCAATTCTATCATCATAAGGAACTCATTGTTGTAAATTATGATATCTTCTGTAATGCCTCTAATTTTCTTTACCCTAATTTGCGATGTTACCTTATACTCGTCCAATCAACAGGACAAGAGTTCACGTGAGACAGTCTCAATAACGATAATGCATATCAATATAAGCAGTTCATACCTAGGAAAACAATTACGACAACCTAGCCTAGAAGTAATCAACAGAGAACTGGAGGAACAATTGCAAAACTATGAACCCAAAAGAATCCAACAAGGCGCCCACGACACTACAGACTCTCCTCGAGATTTCCATGACTCTTCGCATCACCCACCGTCAGCTGTACATGGGAGCCTTGCCCTTACCTGAAAATATGGGTAGCACGTGGCTTGAGTATTATAGGAAATACCTAGTAAGTCGCCCCACTGTTGGGGTTAAGCATATATTCATACATCCGGATACAAGCAGTCGCACACAATACATCTACATGGCGCACACGATACACATACATGACGCACACAACACACATACATGTCGCACCGAATACCCATACATGTCGCACAGAATAGCCATACATAACGCACATAATAACCATACATGTCGTACAAAATACCCATACATGTCGCACGTAATAGCCATACCTGTAGCACAAAATAGCCATACATAACGCACATAATAACCATACATGTCGTACATAATAACCATACATGCCGCACATAATAACCATACATGTCGCACAGTGTTAGAAGAACGAAACTGAGAGAGGGGTCTGTCTTCCATTCCTTCCCATGGCCTTAGGCCCTTGTTTTGTCCGGGCAGGGGTGGATGCATGGTAATTTCCCACACATGGCCCACGTGTGTGACTATTGGCCCACCAAGCGAGCTCGCACGCGAACTCCCTGGGCCTGACTTGGTCGGGTATGTATAACATACAATACCGGACGCCACGAACAAAGGAGGGCCTGCATGATATCGTGGCGAACACAATATCGAATATACGCATCCATACCATCAGTAGCATAACGGGGGAGTGCCCCAGGTACATAACCCTAGCGTGCATGAGGTTCTTAAGGTTTACCTCCATGGCATTATACATACAGCGTTCCATCCCCTTGCCGCATTACATAGCATAACCGAGTCCACATTGAGCAAGCATATCATAGCATAACCGGGTCCACATTGAGCAAGCATATCATAGCATACTAGTCACCTCATTCATGGCATGCGGGGTTCTCGTTACAATCATGACGTATCAATCAAGCTCATCATACATACAGGGCAACCAACCGTGTCACAACATCATATTCATAAACATGGCATACATAGCAATTCACTGCCAGAATCACATACATAAACATAGCATGCGTAGCATTTCACTACAAGAAACATCTAACCTAGCATACAACAACAACATATGGTGCATGCAAGGGCCATAGGGCACGCACCAACATACATACATAACTAACGCCAGCAATAAGGTTACTTACCTCCTTGACCTTGGCTGAAGTCACCCACAACGCTAACTCCAGCGCCTAACTACCTCCTATAAGATAACATGATACACTTAGAGTGCTTTCTCAACTATCCCTCGTGCCTAGCTACCAAGGTACGTCCCTATCGCAAGCTATTTGTCAAAAATGGAGTTATACTGACCTCAGATGTTTGAAACAAGGGTGGGAATGGCTCCAGAAGGGTCGAAAACCTAGGAATCGGTATACTATTCGAATGTCGAGCCGCCAAGCTGCACTGCCAAGCCGCACTTAGCCGAGCCAGAGGTTCGCGAAGCCGCCGAAGGAGCAGAAACCGATGGCTGCGAAGAACACCGCCGGCGCAGGGTTTATGGCGCACCTCCGGTTTGGGCCAAAAAGGGAACGAGGCTCCGGGGTGGTGTCCGAACGCAGCCTGCGAAGGGCGGGCTGCACGCTGGCCGAGACGTCTCGGGGAATGCCGAGGGTAGACCCACGCCAGCCACTGCGTCTTCCTCGTCCGAAAGTCCCGACGGTCCTAATTGCAGAGCTTGGCTACTGTCGCCGGTGGATGCGTCGTCGTTCGTACGTTCTCCGGTGGCGCGTCTGCTTCCTCTTGCTTCGAAACACACTGGCGCCCCCTTCTCCCTAAAGGAGGTGGCCACTCCTAGGGTTTACGGGAGCCTGGGTGGATCCCGCCGAAAATCACGAGATTTTCGGCAGGCTTTCCCCCTTTTTTTTCTCTCTCTCTCCTCTCTCCTCGCACCTTCTTCCATGGTCTCTCCCTTGCCGGTGGATTACCCTCGTCGTGATCAGAATTGTCGCCCTCATATGTATCGGTTGAGGGCGTAGGTAGTGGAATCCTCTGTCGAGCTTGATTTTGAATCTCCAATCTTCCTATTCGATCAGTCAACTCTTCTATTCCTCGAATTAGTCTTCCCATGGTTCGTGATTGTGCTTCTCTCAATCGTGCATCAGTAATGTCAGTATTGTCGTCTAGATTTTCCATGCTACAAAAGAAAAGTAAAAGAAAAAAAAAAGACCTCACAAGCGCTCCCTCACGTGTATTCACTTGTAAATGTAGTTCACTCGTGTTTAGCACTCAACACTCGAATCAATGTGTCACTCCCTTACAAACTCACCCTCACAATTGAGCACACACAAATCACACTCCAAAAAATAAATTGGGATGTGAGACAAGCTATGTTATAGAGCTAAGTGCAATTGAGAGTGAAAAACAAATTGGGATGTGAGACAAGCTATGTTATAGAGCTAAGTGCAATTCAAAGTGAATAGACAGCACACTCAACACATAAATAAGGGTATTGAAGGAGCAGTCCGAATAACGATAAAGAAACGAATTAAAGAAAGAAAATGATTAAAGACTAATTTAGACGTAGTAACATAGGAGAGTTACATATAATAATCAAAAGGAAAAAAGAAAAACACTCAACAGCAATAAGCTTTCTTTAATAGTTTTTTTTTTTTTTTTTTTTTTTTTTTTTTTTTTTTTTTTTTTTTTTTTTTGCCATTGGCAAATCTAATCAATTTACGAACAATTGATTTAGAAGATCTTAAAGAAGAACAAAATGTTGATAAGATCCAGATCTAACTTCTCAATACATGATTTCCACATTCGTCATTTTAACCAATTCGAGTTTATTGACTCACATTTCTCACGTCAAAACACAAAATGATGGCAAGGACTACTTTTCGTGATGTCAACAAAAAACATTGGCAAAACAAATATTTGTCCACGTATTAGCATTATCCATATATTATATATTCTTTAGGTTATTTATTGAATATTGAATATGATCTTTTATTATGTCAACAACATATTGTTCAATATTACATTAATAATCTCGATTTTTTTCTTGTAAAATAAATAAATATTAATAGTTTAGATGGAGGAGAAGGATTATAACCTTACTAAGAAGAGAGTAAAGTTATGACTCTCGTATGCAGTCAGTTAAATACACAGGAGAGTGGCACACAGAGGAAGACAGTGTATGGTCTAAAAAAGTGCATAATAACCAACCCAAGTTTGTGATTGGGTTCGGAGAGAAAAATGGTGTAACCTATTCTGTCAATTTTTGTTCCTTTTTCTTTTAATAGCCTTCTACTTAAAATTATAACGTGAAAAGCTATTAAAAGGAATATTTGTGAGTGTATAAATATGTAAATGCTCCCTATGAATTAATTGAGCAAAACAGACAGAAAAAATCAAAATAAAAAATGGCATCTTCTAGTTTTCTTGCAATTGTCCTTTCAGTTCTATTCTTCAATGGGATGGTGCCCATGCATGCAGCTTCCCAAAACGACATCGTTTCCACCATGCAAGAAAACTAGAAACCCTTCTTTTTGCTTTAACGTCTTCAAATCTGCTGGCACCACAGGCCTAAAAGGGCTGGCCACCTTCACCCTCAACCTCGCCCACGACAAGGCTTCTCAAAGTCGTGACCTCGCCCAGTCCCTGGCGTCCAAGGCAGCCGATCCCAAGCTTAAGGAGCGCTATGCCACTTGTGCTGAACTCTATGACGATGTCGTCGGCGACATCGAGGATGGGAAGAAATACTTGTGGGAAGGTGACTACAATGGCGTCAACATTAAGGCGTCTGCAGTCATGACGGAGGCTGGCGACTGTCTAGATAACTTCACGCAGCTGCCGAAGGACCCATGGGCGCTGTCTGGCAACGGAAAGACTGTGGAAGATATTTGTAGTATCATCTTGGTTATAGGCAATCTTCTTCTTGAGCGTGCCTAACTCATTTTTCTTCAACCTTTCTTCATTTTATCCTACAAACCTTTGTATTTGGAATGCCATGAATCAATAATATGCCTGTTTTGATTCCGGTAAATTTGGACCGACTCATTTCACATTTTAAACTTAAATCTAATATGACTCGATAACCTAACTAATCTAATCTAATATAACTCGATAACCTAACTAATCTAGGGTCACCCGATAACTCTTACTGCTCTTCAATTTTAAAGGTCACAGGTTCTCTAGTCTGTGAGTCAATAGGGCACATAATTTCTTCTTAATGAGTTATAGGCCTCTTCGTTTTCTTTTCTCAAATTTTCATTATTCTATCTCTTTTGGTTTTGAGCACTTCTACAAAGATAATCTTTGGGAGTAAGCTTCTACTGATCATGGGACTTCGGCAGAGTTTCATTAATCACATCATCAAAGTGAGAGTTTTAGCTCACGTGTATGGTTAGATCTCAACGAATTTGAGAAAAACTCACATGTGCCAAATCGAAAGAAAATTGTTGGGTTTAGTATGCAAATTCATAAGCAAATTCATAACCCATAGGGTCATTTCTATGAATACTATAAGGGGCTATCTTTCTAATAAATCTGGGAGTTTAAAAGCACCTAATTCATTGAAATGTCTTTTATTTTTCAAAAAAAAAAAAAAGAAGTTAAAACACAAAATATGAATTTTTTTTAAAAATTAAAAAAATTGAAAATTTAGAACTTTTAAAGGTAAAAGAGAAATTTGTAATTGAAATGATTTAAAAATGTAAAATTCAGTTAGATGATGAAAAGGAAAGGGTAGAAATAGAATGTGAATGTTCTAAGAATAGAGAGGCAGCCATTAGAATCAGTTAAAGAATACGCCATTTTTGCAAGGAGTAACGATTTGAGCACGACAGTACTGCAATGCACGTCTTGCGGCAGTCGCGCACCGAGAGAAGGAAAACTAATCTTCGGTTCTTCTTCCTCACTGTCAATGGAAGGTTTGAACAATCTTTTTCTATTGTTTTGTTTCCAATATCTTCTTATCATCCGTTCCGATTCAATTTCTGTTTTGATCTTTCATAAGAGAAGGAGAAATAAAGGAAAGACAGAGCTCCGGTGGTAACCTACCCGCTCTGTCAATCCCCAGACATGGCTGGTCCTTCGCTTTTCTAGGATCTCATCACTACCCACTCAACTCTCTCTCCCTTTTCCTAATCACATTCATCTTCAATATTCTACATCCCACTTTCCCTTTTCCTCTTTTTGTTTCTCTTTCTATTTTCCTTCTCTTCTATTTTCTCGTCAACCATCGCAATATTAATCTTTCTTTTTTCTCTTTTTCTGGGTTCTTTTGATCAGAGACAATGATTTCTGATCTGAGGTTTTAATGTTTTTGTGTTATCTCTAGAATCGGTAGGGTTTTCGTTGTTTCTTGCGGATTGAGTGTGTGATTTTTCCTTCCCGTATATTTGTCATTTGATTTTCTCGGAAAATAGGTTGAGAATTCTGGGATTTATGGTTGGTTCAATCTGCCATTTGTTGGAAATTATGCGAAGGGATTGAGGATTATTTTGAGTGTTGAAGAATTAGGAGATTGATGAAACGGGTTTGAGTGTTTTGACAGAGAGGGGAAACTTTGGGGTTTCCCAGGAAATGAAGGCTTATCAATGGTAGAAAACGTTTGTGAATAAACGTTGGGAAATTTTGGGGAAGTATGGGCTGCATTTGCTCAAGAGATTCCTCAGAACCAGAAGATAGCAGTCAGAAAGAGTCTACAACGGGAAAAGATGTGAACAAATCATCAGTTCAATTGGTTGCTCCTTCTCCCTCTAAAGGAGAGGATTTGTTGTCAGAGATTAAGTTGTCAAGGCAGGCATCTAAAGCAAATGGAGGTTCTGTTCATAAAACAAAGGCCAATGGAGGTTCTGTTCATAAAACAAAGGCCAATGGAGGGTCTGTCCATCGAGCAAGGGAGGACGATGAATCCATTAAGCCTGCAAAAGCAAAAGCAGATAATAGTTTGGCAGCTGGAAGAAAGCCCGACATTTTTAGGTTAGCTAGCTTGTCTAAAGTTGCAGAAGCTGAATATGTGATGGCTGGATGGCCTTCATGGCTAGCTTCTGTTGCTGGAGAAGCCATTAAAGGGTGGGTTCCCCGCCGGATTGACTCCTTTGAGAAGTTAGAAAAAGTTCGTTCCATTCATTCTGTTCTCTTTTTTACTTAAATTCTTTAGAATCATATGACTCTAATGCTTCTTATTTGTATCTATTGAACAGCATGTCTTTTGTATCGAAATGTGTTGATCATCTCATTGTGTTCTTTCTTATATGCAGATTGGACAAGGAACTTACAGCAGTGTATATAAAGCCCGAGACCTTGAAACTGGAAAAACCGTGGCATTGAAAAAAGTGAGATTTGTAAATATGGATCGAGAAAGTGTCCGTTTTATGGCCAGGGAAATCTATATTTTGCGTAAACTTGATCATCCAAATGTTATGAAGCTTGAGGGTTTAGTTACTTCCAAAATGTCGGGTAGCTTGCACCTTGTTTTCGAGTACATGGACCATGACCTTGCAGGCCTTGCTGCAGCTCCTGGACATAAGTTTTCTGAGACTCAGGTATTTCCTAAGCTTCTCTATAGCATTTCAACTCGAACCATTATGAAAATGAATGCTTATTCAAACTTGAGCTATTGAGCCATCGAACTGACCATGATATTTGATATCTGAGGGAACTGATAACTGAAACCATTGATATTGATATGTGTTGTTATATGCTGCAGATTAAATGTTATGTGCAACAATTGATGCAAGGACTCGAACACTGTCATAGTCGAGGAATTCTGCACCGAGATATCAAAGGTTCAAATCTTCTCATTGACGATAATGGTGTGCTCAAGATTGGAGACTTTGGTCTAGCTACCTGTTTTCAACCTGATCAAAAGCAGCCATTGACGAGTCGGGTGGTGACATTGTGGTACAGGGCACCTGAGCTTTTGCTTGGTGCTACTGAATATGGACCCGCCATAGATCTCTGGAGCTGTGGCTGTATCGTTGCTGAACTATTTGCTGGAAAGCCTATTATGCCGGGAAGAACAGAGGTTTTTATCAACGAAACTCTTTTTCGTGTAATCCTTAGGAAAATAAGAGAAAACAATAGATCACTACAAGAATCATTTGGAAGTTGTTAAATTGTGGGTTTCTTATCAGGTGGAACAAATGCACAAAATTTTTAAGCTCTGTGGTTCACCGTCTGAGGAGTTCTGGGGGAGAACAAAGTTGCCACTTTCAACCAGCTTCAAACCTCAACACCGTTATAAAAGCTGCATTTCTGAAACATTCAAAAGTTTCCCTCCTCCAGCTCTGGCTCTTGTTAATAAACTACTTGCTATTGAACCAGAGCACAGAGGATCCGCTGCCGAAGCTCTCAGAAGTGAGGTATTTGCAGTTTCCTTTTGTATGTTTAAGAGTTAGGACCATGTGCATTAACCCGCTGCACTATTGTCTTTTCCTGGCTAGAGTTGAAATAAAAAGTGCTTCTTTTTTATGTGTTCTTTCATGTGAATTTTGCAGTTTTTCAGAACAGAACCTCTCCCTTGTGACCCTTCAAGCTTACCAAAATATCCTCCAAGCAAGGAATTCGATGCCAAGCTCCGGAATGAAGAAGAAAGAAAGTATGGATAATCGTTTCTCTATTGGTCTTCATTTGAGTTTTTGTTTAGTTTTCTTTTTCGTTATATTTTGCCAAACATACTTCAGACTACTAGTTACCTTTTGGGGCTATCATTATAGATACAATTTTACTTAATTTCAGGAGAAAAGCAGAAGCTGTGAAGGGACATCATCCCGAATCAGTAAGAAGGGGCTTGAGAGACACCAAGGCTGCTCCGACTCCCGAGTTCAACACTCAAGGAGACTTTACGATTAAGGTATATGTCACAAATTGGAAACTACTTGTTCCTGAGTTTATGATGACATTTGGGAGTGTACTTTTTAATAAAATTGTGAAAAAAACACTTTTATAGCTTCTCATGAAACCAAACACATTGTGTTTGTATAAAAAAATAATTTTGAAAAAAGCAGTATTCACTCAAGAACATACCTTTCTGATGGACAAAAACTGCAGGTACACCCGATTGCTAAAAAGATGAGTATGAAATACAACCCTCAAGAGGACGGTGAGCCTCCTAGAGTTGCTCAGAGTCGGTACACCCACTCAACATCTATGGTGCACCCGACTATTGCAAGTTCATGGTGTAAGCCCACCGGGGCATCAAGAAATTGTGCAGATTTGAGGACACAGAAATCTCAGATGCATCAGACAGTGGGCGATTCGGCAACCTCTTCGCTTACAAAGGAGGACGTAGTGTGTACTAAAGATTCTGGAATGGTATGAACACAAGTCTCTTTCTCATTCTATTAGAACCATAAAACTGTATTTTAGTCCCTGAATCCTACTTTGAACATGTGACATGCAGGGATATGTGCAAAAGAAGAACAGAATACATTACTCGGGACCGTTGGTGCCTGCAGGGGGAAGCATTATTGAAGACATGCTGAAAGAGCATGAGAGACAAATCCAGCAGGCTTTTAGAAAGGCGAAGACGAATAAGAGTTATGATGAGCTTTAAAAGAATCCAAGCAAGTTTGGTAGAGCATCATCAAAGGTAGAAGAAGGCTTGTGGTCTCTCAAACTGTGAGTGCTGCACTTTTGTGTTTAAAGAAGAATGAACCATGAAATATTAATAGTAGCGTTGTATATAATATAAGAAGCTACAATAAGGTTTGAAAATTAAATATACCCCGAAAGTAGAAGAGAAGAGAAGAGAAGAGAAGAGGTTGTAATTGTTGATAAAAGGGTCACAGGGGAAGGAGGGGGGATACATTGAAAGAGGATTGATTGTGTAGTTGTTGCCACAATACTTAGGGTGGGGAATTGGTTTGTTGTAAAGAGTGAGTGAGTGAGGGAAAGGGCTTCATATCATAACATCATTCAATTAATACCTAATTTTACACATC